TGGCGCTATAGACATAAACTGAATAGAAAATAAGCGGAACAGAATTGAGTGTTAATGTCTGTCATTTTTGAGTGAGAAATTGGGAATATGGAGTGAGAGTGAAGACACTGAGATGGGTGAGAGTTAACAGCCCTCTAACTGTAATTATTCTACATGTAAAAAGAGAGCTTTATGGTCTTTTAAACCCAGACAAGGTTATTTCTTTACTTCATTCATTGTTATTGACTGCCACATTTTGATTGGCTGCTCTTTTCATTTTCTAAAATTAACCCAGGCTGTTTGAAGTGTGATTTAATGCAGATATAAACGACAAGAACTGATATACAAAATATATTTTAAACCCCCCTACAACAGTAATTATTACGAGAAAACAATAAAGCTACATCAACACTGATTATTATAGCAGCAAACATGCCAGCAAAGTTGTTCTCCCTGTTAGCTTGACTGAGCTAGCCCCGGATGCTAACTGATCGAGGACTCTGTCATCAAAAGTTATCGCGAGGGCCCCGCAGCGAGATTTATAAATGAGACCGTACAACCCTTCAGACTACCTTAAAAGCTACGTTTAAACGCATCTGTGTTTTAAATGTGTCTTACCAGCCGAACCGAAGCCACAAACTAGAAGGAGCAGAAGAAAGCCCCAAAGAAACCAACGATCCATTTTCCCGCTATCTTTCTGCTCTGTCCAAGGAGAACAAAAACTAACGCGATCTGCGCTCTGTTATTTCTGCCTGAGTACAGTCACTATGGTAACGAGCACAGGAAGGAGGGGGGGCGTTCTTCTTCTTTTTTTATGGCGGTTGACAGGCAACTTATTGAAGCGCATTACCGCCATCTACTGGAATGCATTGTGGATCGGGATTCTTTAAATAAATTCTCCCACAAGACAAATAAATAAATAAAATAAAATTATAATAATAAAGTTCATAAATCTTATATTCTTTATATCAATTTCATGTTTTAAGATAATTCATTAAATAATAAAAAAACATTTAGAAGTACAAAGTTTGTCCAAAATATCTTGTATATTTAATTGCAATTTATTTCCTTGTAATCGACTAAATAATTCCATTCTTTCAACAGAATATTTAGAACTGACTGAAAAAACACGTTTTACTGTCTCTTCTTGAAAATAAAAATCACAATTTCCTGTTGGATGTTTTCCCATTTTAAATAATTTATTATTTAACCTTGTATGATCAAAACTTAATGCGTATATAATGGTTTCCTCTTTTCTATTTCTTCCTGTTCTCCTCACTGTACCAACTTTTTTTGAATACTGTAAAGCCACCTTCCAGTTCTATTCTCTTCCCACTGCCATCTTTCCTTAAACTTTTGTTTAATAATAGATTTAATCTCTTCTTTAAATGGTATCATATATCAATATAAACTATTTTTTGTAGCTTGTTTTGTATATTTATCTGCCAACTCATTTCCTTTTACTCCTATATGTGACAGTATCCATGTAAAAATAACTTAAACCCATTGCCTGAATTCTATAAATTAAAAATTGAATCTCTTATATTATATTATACATAATCTCTTTATTTTGAATATAATTATGAACTTGAATCAGAACATATTATACTTCTTACAGGATGAACTTCTTCAATCCATCCTAAAGCCAAAATGATTCCCATCATCTCTCCTGCATAAACTGATACTCCATCAGTAATTCTTTTAGATTTTTTAAATACTGAATTCTGGAACAATGAATGACACCCCACTATTGCCATTTGAAATTTTTGAAGCATTTTGGAAGCATTAAAGAGACAGACCTACATTACTGGTTGGCATGTGTTTCGGAGAGAGGGTAGTACAGACTAAGGACTGGGGTCTTTAATCCTTAATTAAAATATTTCAATTCAGTTTATTTCTATAGCGCCAATTCACAACACATGTCATCTCAAGACACTTTCCAGTTCGACAGATCATCCAGTCAAATTGATTCAAAGTTTTCTATCTAAGGAAAACCAGTTGATTGCATCAACTCATTGACTCGAATGCAATCCCTCACACTAAGCATACTTGTAGCGACAGTGGAGAGGAAAAACTCCCTTTTAACAGGAAGAAACCTCCAGTAGAACCAGGCTCAGTGTGAGCGGCCATCTGCTGAGGCCGACTGGGGTTCAAGGAGACAGAACCAGCATATGATAATAAAATATACATTTAACATTTAAAATCTATATTTAAAAAAAGAAGCTTCCCCACAACATACTTATTCTGACATTTCCATTCCCCCTGTGGCTCCTCCAAGGTAACAATGGTTTATCTGACCACAGCATGTCCCCTATTGGCTTAAGCCAGACTAGATTTTATGAATTTGTAAAACAAGTTGGGAACGACACTTTTGCAATTTCTAAAAAAAATAATATCAATACATTTTCCCATTTTTGAAATGAATGGGCTCTGTCCAATGAGTTTCTCAGTGAGGAAAAGGAAAGGAGGAGGAATTAAATCCTCCAGAGATCCAGACTGTATGAAGACGGAGGGGAGGAGATTAAAGACAAAAGGAGAAGGAGAGCCACTAAAGAAGAGCTAGAAACAGAAATAAAAATGTAAATAAGTAAATTTTTTTATTTCATGCTTGCCAGGCCCGGAACACTGCATTCACCTTTCCCTCTCCACAGGGGAGCAGCGATGCAGCACATCTGGCTGGCCGTTCTTTCCAGCCTCAGCCTCCGACTGGTCCTCCAGTGCAGAGCTGAGGAAGGACTGGAGTTTCCCAACTTTGATGGCAAAGACAGGGTACTGGACATTAACGAGCGCAACTTCAAGAAGGCCCTGAAGAGGTACGACCTGCTGTGCCTATTCTACCATGAACCGGTGCCGGCCAACAAGGGCCTGCAGAAGCGGTTCCAGATGACAGAGCTGGTGCTGGAGGTGAGGGGAAAGTGGGCGCTGCAAGTAAAGCTGATGTTCTTTCTATGCTGCAAAAAATAGTAAAGTCTTAGTAAAAATAAACTTTATCTCTTTTTTGTCTGCATACAGTCGGTTTTAATGTAAGATAACAAGTGGATTCTGTCTGTTTGACTGACTTACAATACATTTTACCTGGACAAACTTCCAGAGTGGAAAGTAAAGACTTTAAACTCATTATGTTCTCTCTCCTTTTCTCCAAAATTTCACACATTCAAGATGGATCTAAGTCATTTTATTTAACCTCAGTTTGTTCTCAGACCAATCTGCTGATGTCTAAAATAACTTTAACAGCCTACCTTTGTCATTTCTAGATTAAATATAAGAGAATTATCAGCTCAGAAACTATTATTTATGTGAAACCTCTTGTTTCCTTATTAGGCAAATGTGTAGCAAGCAACTTTTTAATCAAGCTTTCCAAACAATGTGAGGTGGTTGTTACTAATTTATATATAAGGCTAAGATGTTTTATTTTATTTCCCCCTAATCAACACTGGAGAAATTATATAGAAATAAAGTGTATTTACCCTAATTTGAGTAGGTAGATGAGATAAGTTGCCAAAGGAATGAAGATTCTTAATCTTTATATAAGATAATTAGATAATATTCACTTGAAATAAGACAATGCAATTGTGTTTTCTTATTTTAAGTGTAAATTGTCTCGATCCATTGGCAAAATGTGTCTTTTATCTCCTCAATCTGAGAACAAATGCACTTATTTTAAGAAAAGAAAAAAATTTAGTTATTTGAGAACGTTTTTTTCTCATTGCAAATTGATTGATTATCTCAATTAATTAGATGTGGAGAAAAAAAAGGAAGAACTCTTCATATTAAAAAAACTGGATGACCTTCCAAACTTGAGAGAACCATAATATTTGATCAATCCTAATGGAAAAAGCCAGGTCACCGGCTTATGCTGCTGCAGCAACAGCTACAGTAGAACAGATGGATATAAATGTGTTAGAATGGCCCAGTCAAAGTACAGAGCTGAATCCAACCGATCTAAAAACTACAATAATGTCCTCTGTAATGATGCGAACTCCAGTTTCTCTGCCTTATGAGTGGCAGCCATATTGGTGAGAAAAACAAGATCCCATTCTCCACCATTCTGCCCAACGATTTAGGTCACAATTCCTCGGTTGCATACAATTATGGCCATATTAAGTCATTCATCTGTTTTTTTTTTTGTTTGTTTTTTTTTGTTTTGATCCACCAGCTCACAGCTCAAGTCCTGGAGAACAAAGACATTGGTTTTGGAATGGTGGACTCCCAGAGGGATGTCAAAGTAGCAAAAAAACTGGGTATGACTTCATAACACGTCATGATGTCTCCTCTATTATTGAACACTGATGGTATTAAAAGGTTGGAGTGTGTTAACCCTCTCAGGCTCAATTTAAGTTGTAGTTGCAGGAAAAATCTGATATTTCGAGAAAATGATAATATGGGGTAGTAATATACAATTCAGACTTTTTTTTGAGAGAGACCTTCACGTGCAATGGATTCGGGGATGTTGCAGATTTGCAACATTGGCCCGGAGTGTTAAATTAACACTGAATCTGATATGAACGTTAACTTTATTTGACTAACTTTTTTTCAAACTTTTTCTCCACCGACATCTCAAAACCTCTTGAGAAGGCCGTTTCTGTTAAACTGTTGCTCAAAATATAGGCAAACTAGTAGATAAAGCATGTAGCATCCATTGGTACCTGTTAGGGCACACGTTGCAAATCCACAACATTGAAATTGAGATGCCTCTGGTGAAAAACCCATTGGCATGTGTCATATCTATACACATTCATGATTCATCTTATGTAGTATTGATTTAAAAATAATGGAAATTGGTAGTGATACTAACATGAAATTGCTGCTTAGAAAATCTGTTTCAGTGACACCAAGGACTCAGCCATGTTGAAAGTGAGTCAGCAGTGTCATGTGGTGAGCTGGAGAGAAACTGTTTGTTGCAAATGCACAACTAAGTCCTTCTGTTGTACTTCTGAGTAACAAAAGCTTTTAAAATATGGATGTGGAGTAATTAGCTAAGTAGCATTTAGCTGTTGCAAATCTGCAACATCTGCCTGGAGAGGGTTAAGATGTCCATCATGGAGTGTTGGGCGGTCATTTCTTCTCCTTCCCACCAGGTCTGGAAGAGGTGGGAAGTGTGTATGTGTTCAAGGACGATCGTGTCATTGAGTTCGATGGGGAGCTCTCAGCAGACACCTTGGTGGAATTTCTCTTAGACGTAAGTGCCCAAAGTTATTATATAAGGTCCTCTGTAGCTATGAATAGGACAGGTCCAAAATCTCAGCTGCCTTAAAATTCTCAGTGTCCTGATTAAAGAGCAATTCTAACAAGACGCCAAAGCAGGGTATAAATGAACTTACAGCTACGTCAAACACTGACATGGATGTGAAGCAGCTAATTGCTGTATGTTTGCTATCAAACCGCCATTTATAACAGCAAGCTGAAAAGGAATACAGACAATTGCATGCAGATAAAGCATAAACTACACCACTTTAACCATATAATGGAACAAGTTATACCCCAGAATCTAAAAATGTGGCATTCAAGAAAACTTTGTCATAATCGTCCAATTCAGTCTGAGGCTAAGCCTTAGTCTTAACCTCAAATATTAATGTTTTATTCTGGGATTTTTTTTATAGATTAACAGTAAATCTGAAGGATGAGATTAATTCAATTCAGTTTATTAAACCCTTTATAGGGCAAGTTACCGTTTTTGATCACTTGCATACCCCTTAGAAATGGAGCCCCCCATTTTTGTTATTTTTCTTAATATATTCGGGCAAGTTGGCGTTTCTTGTTACATTGACATTCATTTTTGCCATTAAATTATCCATATTTTTTTTAATGTTACAAAGGTAATAAGGTAATGGTCTAAAAATTAGTGAAAATGTCTTAAAATAAGTGTATTTATCCTTAATTTGAATAGGTAAATAAGAAAATCTCCCAGTGGAAGGAGCATTTTTATCCATTAAATCAGATTATTTGATATTATGCACTTGAAATAGGAGACTGTATTTTTTCTTATTTTAAATGTGAATTTTCTTAATCCATTTGCAAAGTGTCAATTCAAGAAAAAATGCACTTATTTTAAGAAAAAATTACGTACTTAGATTTCAAGTTTTTGCAGTGCGCTCTTTGCTTGAAAGTTTGATATTTAAAGTCTTTCACTAAGTGCCCTATAAAGGGTTATATAGCGGCAATTCACAACAAGCGTCATCTCAAGGCACTTTACAGTTCAACCTGATCATGCAGTCTAATTTAATGCCTGCTATAAGAATGCTACAAGCACGTGGAGACAGTGGAGAGGAAAAACTCCCAGATCAGATTCAAGAACTGCAAAAGTCTTTAACTGGGACCAAGTTCTTTACTTGTTCAACCTCCTTTCAACAGACTAGCAGCCCTGTCCCACAGGATGATGCTGCCACCCTCATATTTCCCCTATGGATTGTGTATTCAGACTATATCAGGCCACCATTGGTAGTCAAATTAATTGAAAAAACATCAGTTTTTGTCTTGAGGAAAATGTAATTAACAGGCTTTAAACTGTAATGGTTAGTTCAAAGACGACACTCATAGGGTCATATTTGAGTGCTTGGTGCTTGGAGTGAACACACATCCCAGGACATCAAATCTTTGACACGTTTTTTCAACCTTATTTTTTTTTTTACAGTGAGCTGACCTTAAGTAAAGATGATTTCCAAAGCTTGGATGGACTCAAATTCATAACATCTTTCAGGTTCTGGAGGATCCAGTGGAGATCATCAATAACGCCATGGAGCTGCGAGCCTTTGAGAGAATGGAGGAGGACATTCGGCTCATTGGCTACTTCAAAGGAGAGGATTCATGTTAGTTTTCTCAAACTATATGCCAATTCAAAAACTAACATTTGTTCATTCATAATGTATTTAAGGAGAACCGTTAAAGGGCTAAAAGTCCCTCCTTGATGTCCCTGTGAGCTCCTTAGATGCTAATGGGGTCTGCAGGCTAATGGCGCTACTCGCCGTAAAGCCTGTTAAGGAGAAACCTGATTCCAGACACTCTCACTTCGTCTCAGGAGACACTTTATATAGCTCCCAGCTCTCCATGTAATAGGTCAAACTGCAATTATAGTTTCAACAAAAAAATAGAAAGACAAAGTGAGGCAGGGGACATGCTGGCACAGATTTTCATTATGAATCCCATATCCGTCCACAGATAGGATGGTCCTTAGCTCTGACCTCATTGGTAGAGGAGCCAGGAGCTCTTTACAAGCTTATCAAACTGTATTAAAAGAGACTTGGTTACTTTAAAACGACTGTAAAAACCACAATGCTGGAAAATTGAACAGTGAATGGGTTTAACTGCTTTTTTACCTCATCGCACAACAAAGAAGCATCTTGACTTGTGATGAAACTTGACAGCTTGCCTCAGTTCTGGTTATATTTCTCGGCTAAATAATTCTTCTCTGTCTTGTTTTGTCAGACTACAAAGCTTTTCAGGAAGCTTCAGAAAGATTTCAACCTTATATCAAGTTCTTTGCAACATTTGACAAATCCGTAAGTAAGAAATGCATCGTTTCATATTTAACACTGTTTGTTCTATAGATTTGTTCTAATAATCGCTTTTCTTCTATTCAATCCACTAAAATTCAATTAAATTCTGTTTATTTCTATAGCGCCAATTCACAACACACGACATCTCAAACCAGGTCAACCAGATCATCCAGTCAAATTGATTCAAAGTTTTCTATCCAAGGAAAACCAGTTGATTGCATCGACTAATTGACTCAAATGCAATCCCTCACACTGAGCATGCTTGTAGCGACAGTGGAGAGGAAAAACCCCCTTTAACGGGGAGAAACCTCCAGCAGAACCAGGCTCAATTAATCCATACAGAGTTTTTGGAAAATATAAAAGCTTATTTTAACAATTGTACACATGATCTATGAGGGTAAAATGCAGTTTACCTTCAAAAATACAGTATATACTTCTTTATACACAACAATTTACTACAAGTAGCAAAAACCATGGTTATTTATCATGTTTGTTGAGAAATCTAAAGGGTGTATAAATGGCAAACAGGGTAAGTTTTGTGTCTGCGTAATACAGCTATCTGTAATTAGTTGATAGATTTAGAAATGCACAAAAGGACTGTTTTATTTCTTTTATGCAGAAGATAAATTTTTTTTTTACCTAATGCTGTTAAACATGACAGATGTTTGCTGGGTAGGGCATGGCTAGGCTACCCGCTAACAGATAACCATGGTTCTAGAGACTTTAGAGACCACAAACGATTGACTCATTGACTAATCATTGACTCAGATGACTCATTAGTACACTTACTAATGAGTCACTATATTTTAGTGTCAATACCCTTTTCAAAGTTATCATTTTAAACCTTGCAAAGCCTTTTGAGTGTTTTTCCAGAAGATTTAAAGTAGCTCCATCCAAGTTAATAACCTGTTTTCTCTATCAGCTTTAATCGATTCCTGTTTAGGTATTACATTATTAAGATTTTTTTTTACAAGTTTGTCTCAGAAACAGATCATTAAAGCATTATAAGTAAGTTATTTACTTTATTACGCAGACATCTAGGTGTTTTATGTTATTTTAGGTTGCCAAACATCTCTCCCTTAAAATGAATGAAGTCAATTTCTACGAGCCGTTTATGGAGGAGCCGGCCATCTTGCCTGGAAGACCTCTGACAGAGATGGACATAGTTGAGTTTGTCAACCAACACCGAAGGTATGTTTGTGTATTTAGCTTATTGCATATGCAGGTATTTTAGATGGGATTTATGCAGTGTTATCGCTACAGGGCTACACTGAGGAAGCTCCGGGCGGAGAATATGTTCGAGACATGGGTGAGAAACACTTAAAGCTGACTGAAACCTTTGCAACTTCAATTAATAATTATTCTAATTGTTTTTGTTCGCTTCTCTAGGAGGATGATATGGATGGAATACATATTGTTGCTTTTGCTGAAGAGGAAGATCCAGGTCCATGGCTACCACTTGATTCATTTTTAGTTCCTAATTCTACAGGCTATGGAAAAACTATTTACCTACTGCAGATTTATTCGTTTTTTCTTGGTTTGCCATAGAGGTTAGATCAACGAGCCATTTTTAACCAAAGTAAATACCGTACAAAATGTAGCTTGAAAACAACGACAGGCCATGCTCTGCGTAGGAAAAATTAAATAATCAGCAATGATTAAGAATGTAGAATAACAAGATGATTAGCCCCAGCAGTTCTCATTATTGGCACACCTGTAAAATGAAGAAATAATTTAAATTGCACCTAGAGGATAAAATGCACCGATCTATTGAAATACAAACAAAATTCCTTCGTAGTTAAGTTTTTTTTTTTAGATTTTTTTTGTTCAAATTTGTATTATTTTGAAAACTGTATATTTAATTGACTTGGCTCATCTTTATTTCTAATATTGCACACAGATGGCTATGAGTTCCTGGAGATCCTGAAAGACGTGGCCAGAGACAACACCAACAATCCAGAGCTCAGTATCATCTGGATTGATCCTGATGATTTCCCTCTGGTTCTGCCTCATTTCAAGTCTTCTTTCCACAATAAAAATCTCTTTGACAAAAAACTATAGTATAGTAAAATAAACTAGATTTTTTGGTCCTTACAGCTGACCACTTACTGGGAAACAACGTTCAAGCTGGATCTGTTCAGACCCCAGATTGGTGTGGTCAACGTCACGGATGTAAGTGAGGTTCAGGTCAGCAGGTCGTCCAGCAACAACCAGGCCCTGGTTTTTAGTAAGCTGATTTGCTGAACTGTCTTCTAGGCGGACAGCGTTTGGTTGGACATGTCTAACGACGAGGACCTGCCCACGGCGGAGGAACTGGAGGACTGGATTGAGGATGTCCTGTCAGGGAGGGTGAACACGGAGGACGACGACGAATTCGCATACGACCAGGAAGACGAGCACTATGTTTTAGAAGAAGATGAGAGTCCTGAGCCGGATGAGGACGACGACGGGGATGATTAGATCATTTTGAATGATTGAAGAAGGACGAAACAGATTGTAATCTTAGGAGAAAAGTGAGACAAGCATGATATTACCAGAGGGACGTTTGTGGCCTAATTTAGCCTGTTCTGTAAAGCTGTAATTCTGTTAAACAACAAGGAACGTGTCCTTTAATTGGTTCCTCTTTTCAAGGGAAAATTGGTGCAACAAAAGAAAATGGGACCAGGGAACATGTAGGATTAGATCCCCATCTTAAATATGTCAATGTATTAAGTGTGTTGAAGTAAGCAAATAGTAAAATAAAGGAACTAATAGTTAAATAGCCTTCTTTTCTTCCTCTCCACCTAAAAACTGTATAAGGGATTTATATGACAGAGCAAAAAACGCTTATAATGTCACTTTTTAAGCCCTCAGCATCATGTTTCTGCCACTATGCTTCACAATGAGCACAGCATGTTATTCTGATTCTCTTACATTAAAGTCAGGGCTTTCTAAAAGTTTTTTTTTTTTCTTAATTAACCCTTAATGTGTGTAAATTAATCTAAGTTTATATCCTGATGTCCCAGAAAAGTTCAGGGGACTGTTGGAGAACTTTAGCAACAAATAGCATAACGGAAAACAAGGAACACAACAAACTGGCTGCAAAGAAGTAGTACATTAAGTTTAAAGCAAAAAAACAAAGGTAAGACTATAGCAAAAAGTTTAGTGATGACAATCTTAAGAGAAAACCTGCCAGTGACTAAAATAAAATACTTTAGATCAAGAAAACAACCCCAAACATGCAGCCAGAACTACGTTGGTATAACGGCCTAGTCAAAGTCCAGATTAAATATCTGTGGAAAGAGTATATAAAGTCATCATTAGATGATGAGGGGCTAATTTAATTATATGCCACACTTTTCAGATTTGTATCAATAAAATTTCTTTATAACTACAGATTTTTTCTCCCCCTATGTAAATGCCACATTTTGTTTGTGCAGTGCATCAAATCCTAAATATTTTTGGATTTGTTTATTAACAAAAAAACCTCACATAGATTATCCCCTCCCCACTCAGGGAGCATTTTCATTTTTGAATTATTCAAACATTGGTAAATAATTCAGTGATATGATGCCCCATAATGGTAGTGGACACCTGGACATTAAGGCTGGGGGTGCGTAGGCTCAGAGATGGCCCCCTGGGGCCCAGAAAACTTCATCATTAGTGGCGAGGAAAAAATGATGATGCTACGCATGAATAAATGATAGAAGGCGATGTTAGGATCTTATTCATCCGGGGCTGGATGTGGAATAAACAGGACGTTTGTTTCAACCTGTGGGGTTAACACCTTCATCCAACTGGTCCACATTGACTGCCGTGTTTGTGTGGGAGCATTTAAATGTGACCCGAGGCAAGTAAACATGTCGCATTCTCTCCTGAGGAAAAGGAAGTCGAAGCGCTCTAAGTGTTTTGATGTCCTGCAAGGCTCTTCAGGTCACAGATTCTCCATGGGTGTCACCTGGGATGAGGATTCGTTTCTCGGGACAAGATGGGAGAAAATCTAAACCTCACGGTTTAAGACGGGGAATTCAAAACTGCAGGAAAACAAAACATCGTAAGATGTGTTAAGATGCTGATTTCCACTCAGCATCAAAGCTGGTAGGTTTTTCTCTTTCCATTCAATAAACACATAACCAGATCATTAGAGTACAAATATAGGGACAGAAATGAAGGGAAGGAAACGTCCAATTTAGATGCAAATGCTCTCCATTTCCTCCCCTGCCTGTCCTGCTCGGGTAAGGGCCGGACGCCGGGGTAGGGATGGATGAGTTTGGACAGGCCGCCTCATGTCCGCCCCCTCGGCTTGCGGAATGAGGTTTTTTTCATTTTCAGGGCTCGACACAGACGCTGACATTCATTTAGCTGCAAGACCGACAGCCACGCAGCTCTGACCAGCTGCTGGTGAGCCAATTACCTCTGAGCTCCATGACAACGATAAAGCCACAAAAAAAGGCATATATTTGGTGCAGACATGTCACACAGCAGAGTGGGACACTTAATGCACAATGACAGAGAGGAGTGTTAGAGCGTCTGCAACCAGGCAGGAAGTAAACCCATATGGAGAACCTGATTAGTTAAACAATGGCCTATCTAAGAGGACTGTAGAAGGTGATTAAATGCATACAACCTGGATAAAAAGTGACTTCTTCTATTAATGCTGATGGATCAATTACAGACTGATCTGCATTAAAAGATAAATAAGAAAAAATGGTTTATAATTATATTAAATGAGTCTGAAAAGTGTGGTGATGCCTCTAAAGGGGCATTCCCACAGCATAACAGCGCTACCACCATGTTTACTGTAGGGAGTTTTTTAAGGGTGACGTGCTTTATTATTTTTCAGATACAAAACACCTTAATCATGCTACATTTTAGCACATAGACCAAAATATAGCGTGTATACCCTCTGAGTCCTCTGATTACACCGTATTTTGTTTAGTCATCAGAAACATCAGGTTAGATGTTTTAGATTTTCTCTCAGGAAAAAGAAAAACAAACACAGCATCTGTTATAAAAGACAAATAAAATACATTGAGGCTGTAACATGTAACTAACCCTAACCCTGCTGGAAGAAATATAATTTTTTCTGTTCCTTATTAGTTTTCCATGAAAAACAGGTAAAGTATTAAGATATTTCATCTACTGCTCAAACTGGAAATATGGAAACGTCTGGACCCGTTTAGAAGTTGCTCCAGAAATTGATTTATCTTAAAAAAGAAACAAAAAAGTGTTTCAGTGACACTGAAATGTCAACTAAATCTTCTGTTAAGGAAATTATTCCCTTTCACCGCGGAAAAACAAAACAAATACCTAAATTAAAGGCTGTATTTTCTGAGATTGTGTTATTCCAATAAAATTTTATAGGAGGGAATCAGGGAGAAGGTTTCATGTTGATACTTTAAAGGAAAAGTCTGGTCATGTTCAGAATACAAACTTCTGAAAGTACTTTAATATGAAATTACATACTGTTCAATAAATAAATGTTTTTAATTATGAGTAATTTCATTTGAATGTGTTTTACTGGAGACATCCATGTTTGTCAAAGAACACTACTGTGACGTCACGGTGCGGTATCGGCTGTTGAGCAAGTCCAAATGCTGTATCTGGTGTTTGTCACAATGAGCTATTATTATATTACGTGTTTTTTCTCTGGCCAGAAGTTCAATGGAAAATCGTCCCTCTTCAAGTTGGCAATCCAACAACAAACCCATCAGTGATGGACCAAGAAATGAACAGGTGAAATAACTAATTTTTTTTCACTTTTACCCGATGTATTACAAAATCCAACTGCCATGCGCAAGATTTAACTATAACATGGTGAATTTTAATTGTAAAGTCCTATCAAAATCTAAAATAATTGTTAAATTGTTAAAATAGTCGTTTATTGCAGATGTGTCTAGTAGCTCCCATTGATTTTGCTTGTAGAGCGGGGAGACGTCACTGCTGGAAGATGTCAGGAGTGAGGTGTTACTATATTTGGGAAAAAATGGCTGGTCCCGGACACTCAGTGATTGCAATGAAAACTGTTTTCATTTTTTAACTGATTAAGGCTAAATTCATTAAATCACCGCATTAGTTTTAGGTACAGATAACGATCCATTGATTATTCCTTGCTAACCAGACTTTTCCTTTAAGATAAAGAATCCGAACAATCCACTATTTCTGAGGCGTTGCTGTGTGGTCATGCAATCACCTTCAGAGTTCAACTCTGTTTTTCGACATATTCTTCATTGTTCGATCACCATAAAGAGGGAAAAACTAAATGTAGAGTGGATGACATCACTTAATTGAGTGGGGAGGTGGTGATTTCTCTTTTTGTCAGGCAAACAGATTTCTTCGTCAACCTCACTGCGAGAGATTTAGCTCTGCAGAGACCTTTTTTTGTCAGCTTGTAGTTTGAAGTCTCTGCTTTCACACCATGTCTTTGTAATTACTATTAGTCTCATGGTCTTCCATATCTGGACAAAAATACTTTAACATTCTACACTTGCAAGTTCATATCTGCACACTGCAAAAACGATCTAGAAATAAGTTAAAATGTCTTAAATGAAGTGTATTTAACATTCATTTCAGCGGGTAAAGAAGATTATTTGCTAATGGAATGAGTATTTTTACTCTTAAAGTAATATAATTAGATAATATGCACATGAAATAAGACAATGCAATTGTTTTTATTTTATTTTAAATATAAACTGTCTTGTTCCATTGAGTTCCATCAAGTGTTTCAAAAAAAGCACTTATTTTTAAGAAAAAACGACTTATTTTATTTCAATTTTTTGCAGCGCAACCAACATGTGTAGAAGGTTAATGATGGAATATCCTAATTATTTGGTTTTACCTCATTATTTTTTGCTCTGCTAAGTTTAAGCTGTTTCTGAGTAAAAAGTACTGCATAGTGCACATTTACCAACAAAACAGAAACGACTTATAAAGACTGAATGAAACGCCAATATAATGGAGGCTGTGTTGACACTTACAGCAGGAAATATGTTTGTGAAATACAAGAGCAGTTCATCTCTACATAAAACCAGCAGTTATCTGCTTAAGTCATTAACAGGTTTGTCTTGACTCCTAAATATAACAATTAGAAAGAGGAACTATGACTAAGAATTACTGGAGGAAGCTCTATGTGCCTTGAAAGTTAAACAAAGGCCTTTTTTTCACAGCTGATAGTGTTATTTACATATAGTTTAGCAAAATGCGAGCGCAGAGATGGGCCCCATTTCCCAAAGCAGTGTTAGCAGCAATGCAGAGTAAATTCAGGGTTATTTCCTGTATATCATGGCTTCTCCATTTTCAGTAACCGAAGAAGCTACAGTGCCTTGCAAAAGTATTCAACCCCCTTGAACTTTTCAACCTTTTGCCACATTTCAGGCTTTAAATATAAAATTGTAATTCTTTGCGAAAAATCTACAAGTGAGAGGGTATTCCTAAACAAGTATCTGTTTTAATTGAGACATCAGATTTAAATGTTTATTAGCACTAAAGATTGATGTAGGAGCGTTTTCATGTTACTATTATTTGTACAGTATGAAATACTGGCATTGCAAAGATGGCCGCCTACACATGAAATATTTTGGAGATTACATGATTAATTGTTCTGTTAAGGTGTGTTCACACCAAACGATCATTGTCCTTTGCAGGTCTGAGATGAAATCAAACATTTCCTTTTGACTTTGTTTAAATAATGAGCATCTTTAAGGTTTTTTCATTAAGATCAGAACTGTGATATCAATAAAAAGGCCTTAAATTCCTTCCACTAAAGAATTGTGAGCTTCTTTGCATTTCTATCCCCTTAAATCTCTATGTTTAATGGCTAAAAGCTCTATTTATTTGGGTTAAACACTTTACTTTTCCCCCCTTATTTCAAATATATAAAGAAAACTCTTATCAACAGTGATGGTTTTGTTTTTTTTATCCTGAAGAAATGCTAACGCATTTTGTTTTTCTGATTCATAATTATTCCAAATAAAAAGAAAATTAAAAACAATCCACTGGACTTTGTTTCCAAGTTTGAATCAATTCAAATGTCAGTAAAAGCGTTAATTTGGAGGTTTAAAGCGTTGAGTTCGATTGATAAACATTTGAAAGTGAACTAAATGTCTTTATCTGGGAACCTCATGTCTGATATTGCAGGTGAAAATGTCTTGTGATCAGATTTTCTCGTCCATTTTAGTTCTTTATAACGTATTGGCTATAAGACATAAGTTACTGTGCTTTCCTTTCTCTTCTCCAGTATTCAGCGGGCCGCCCTGGCCATCATAGAGCACTACTACTGTGACTTCCCCATCCATAACCCAGCTCTGCTTTCTGCCTCCAAGTCCAGAGCTGCCAAGCACCTGTCGGGCCTCAAGGTCTACAACGTGGATGGTGAGTTCCCAGCAGGCCCCGCTGAGGGTGAGTGGGATGCTCTGTGTTGTCTGTAGCTTCTTTAGTTTCTAGAGGTAAAAAAGCATCAAAATTTAACCATCACCTGCAGCGTTAAACACCAGGAAACCAAATATACCATCCTGAAATTCTCCACCAGCTTGCAGGATTTTGACTCAAACATCTAAATAACCAGAAGCATCACATTGGTTTTACAAACGTTCATAGAAAAGTGTTTTATTTGCATTGATATTACCTTTTTTTTTTTTACAAATACTAATGTGCAACTGAAAAAAAAAAAAGATGTGAAAATTCACAGTCATTGTGAGGCTGTCCATTAAAATCCAGACCGTGGACGGAGGACTGTAACCAGGCAACAGTGGGACAGATGGTGAGGACGACGTCGGGAGGCGAAAAGGCAGGCCGTGTGAACTGAACTGGCACAAACACGTGTTTCACCACAGACAGACATTGTAAAAACAGGAGGCACTGTCATGTTGGGATCATAGGAAGTTAAACTATTAGTTAAAATAGGGTAAGTTGGTTCAGGTTCTAAACACCTGTGGCAGGCCTTTTAGTTTTCAACAGGAGGGATTTAAACTGCTTTTTATATAAGCCACCTGCACCAATATACAGTTTACCCACCAGGGGGCAGTACAGGATACAGCCAGCCATGACAATGAAACATGACTTTAGTGAGATTTCTCACTTTTGTGGAGTGCAACAGGCACAGAGAGACAAACAGGTGAGATTTTAGCTTATTTAGGAATATTTTGGGGTTTAACATGCAAACCTAGTTAGTGTGTGGATGATTACGAGAAAATGAATCCATCCAAGTCCTCCATGAAGGCGCCGACCTCGAGGGATTGGATGTTTACCAGACGCCAGCCGTGAGACGAGGCAATAAAAGCAAAAACCAGTCCGTCCAGTTAGGAGGTTCCACCCAACAGCTCAGACTGCTGATCCACCTCTGCTGCTCCAATATAAAGAAGTGATAAGGAGCCCTGAGAGATGACATCACACTTTAAACTCAAAAGGATTCAATATTTGCTGAGTGAACACTTTCCAAACTCCTCATGGTTGTCAAAATAAATTTTTTGTGTTTTTGCAATTAAAAATCTGAAAAGTGTGGCATGCATCTGTGACATCTAGTGCAAAAAAAAAAACAAAAAAACAACCCCCTGCACATAAAACCATACGTGTGCGCTAGACTGGCCAAAAATTTGGAAAAAATATCAATCTCTAGAGGCAGTAAGACAATCTAAAACTCCAGGACCTAATATAAAAACATGCCACACTTTTCAGATTCCTGTTTGTCGGTCTATTATACAAAACACTGAGAAACGGGCAGTGAACATTTTTCCATTTCTCCTTGATGATAAAATGTGTGAAAAGCATCAGGATCTATGGAGGATAGAATCAGAAACCTGTTGCTTGGAAGGGAAAAGCAGATGAAGTCTGGAGCAATCAGTAGTTTTTATTTCAGAACTTGCAGCTCTGTCTCGTCATGTCAGGCAGATGAGGCAGACACAAAAGCCCTGAGAGGATCACCGAACCTTTGTGGAGGAGTCAATGTCTTTGAGCACGTGTCCGTATCCGTGAGTCTCTCACCGTCCAGCCCGTTTACACGGCCTGCTGCTGCTAAAGGTCGTCCCCTCTCCAACGCACCTGGAGAGCAAATCTCGCAGCATGTTTTGTGGATGAGCGAAAAAGATCTTTTTAAAATCCGTTTAGAAAAAACCAATGAAAATATTCCACATACTCCTCTGTGCAGCGGCTGGGGAGCTTTCTGAAACTTTGAGGTGAAGTCGGCCTTTATTCCAGTCTTGTTTGGCTTAAGCTTCTCAACCAGCCGACACGCATGCCTACAGAACCTTGCAAAAGTGTTAAAAACTTTTTCACATTTTATCACAAACTCTTATATTAGATGGGATTTTATGTAATAAACCTACAGAGGTGGAAAATCAAAAAGATTAATACAAATCTTTAAAATGTGGAGAGCCTTTTTATTCAGCTCCCCTTTGTTACTTTATACATCTTGCATGATTTTCCTTCTATCATATGACTCTATAGATCACATAAAATCCCAGTAAAGGTGTCGATATTGCAACTATTTAGTGTAAAAATGTGAAAAAGTTAACTTTTGAAGGAAAGGTACACTCATGCATACAGTATTGTGCACAACCTAATTGGTCGATCAAACCCGTGAGCAAAATCCTGCAACATTTCTTCTTTTCACCAAGTTGAACATTAAAATATCTATAATTTCAAATGTGTGATATATAAATTCATTTATATATATATATTAAAAAATGAAAAGTACATATAAAAACTTCAAACCCTAAATAGCAACATTTGAAAGCAATGTGACATGATGAGGAATAAAAAAAACAAACAACTGTTGCCGTCCTACACTGAGGTTTCAGACTGTAGTCGCAGGACAAACTTGTGAGATTTGGGGTCGATGTATTCCTCTGACATCTGGATGTAGGGGATCTTTTTGGTCGTCACCACCAGGCTGAAGTCCACACACTTGAGCACGAAGACGCTCCCGTCCTTCAGGCCGCTGGTGACCGACGCCTCGCTGATCAGCGTCCACCGGCGGCCCAGCCAGTGGTCCTTCCCGTACTGCAGGGTGGGTCCTGGCGTCAGGTAGCTCTCCAGGAACGCCTGAGGGGAAAGAGTGTGGAGCAGGAGTGAGCATCCAGATGTCTGACTGTGCTGGGGCATGTGCTGCTTAGGGCAGACCTTGGGCGTCATGTTGTTGGTGATGCAGAAGGCCAGGTGCTGCTGGATGCTCTCCATGCTGTGGCAGTGCTGCTGCTTGGTGGTCCTCAGGTACTTCTGCAGGGCACGCGCCATGGAGGGGAAGATTGCTTGAGCTGCCTCTCTGGGGTCCATGACGTCCCCTGGAGCCTTCTTGGGCTCCTCCTCCTGCATACGCTTAATGTGGGTGAAAGCTTCCTCTACTGCTACTACCAGTCTGGGGAAAAGAAGAACAGGCTAAGTCAATGTAATGCATGCTCATAAAGAAAAAAAAAGGGGAGGTTTTATTTCCTTTTTTAGCACTAGACAATCTTTAAATTGACCTTTAGTTGAAAGACTGGCAGTAAAATGCGAAACAAAGATAAGAAACTGTTATTTTTCATATTTCTGCTAATTGAATTAAATGTATCCAAGTTATATTAGCTTTTAAAATAGAGATAAAGTTGTTGAATATGGAGGATCAATCCTGCCCTTATTGTATACCAGCTGTAAAATGATCATTAGCCTGGAGTTTACTGTGCATTGCCCACATTTACCAGATTTTATGACGATAATTCAACTGTGAGGTTTCTAAGATGCGGTTTATGTGATTCGATGTGGAAAATAGTGTGTATGCAGCACATGCTTTTATTTTATTTTACACACCTTCATGCTCATGCAAAGTACAGTGTTTGCAGGTTTAGATAGTTAACAGCATGATAAAGCAACCCGACTAACTGCACTACCTGCTGCTAACTGAACTACTCTAACCCTTCTAAGCTGATTAGCAATTTTATCAAAAATAAAAAGTCCTCTCTCCTATGTTAGCTTATCTTCACTGGCTTCCTGTTAAATACAGAATAGAATTTCAAATCGTCCTTCTCCCACATAAAGGCTTAAATGGCCAAGCTCCATCTTAAAAGTGGAGAGATTATATATATAAAAACAATGATTTGTCAAATTTAAAATGTATCTAGTTTGTTGCAATTAGTTTCTCAATAATTTACATTTCAAATCATTATTTTGCCAACGATTTAAAATCATAAGTCATTTATTTATATCTTTATGTATTATCGTATGGCAGGATTTGTCCTCCAAAATTGAAAAAAATTATTAAAAGCATTCGAACAATAATTGCGCAAATTGCAATTACAATGAAAAAAAAAAAAAAAAAGAGACACTGTTTTTACACAACAATGAGGTGGTTTTTCGGTCATATAGAAATTGTTACATTTCGCAAAACTGCAATGGAAACTATTTTTTGCTTCCCACAAGTCGCATTATCTGTAACTAAACCTAAATGCCTTGTAAAAAGACAAAGTAGAAGAGTAGTTGGAGGAAGATGAGCCACTAGAGCCATGGCTGAATTATGGGTATATTTCATGTGTTTACATCCACCTCTGCCACGTTGTTTTCAAATTCTATTGCATGAACATTATCACATGCAACTTTTATTGTATGTCTTATCTACTAGAAATACCATAATTACGGGACTTTGCACCTTCGAATTTAGCAGGGACTATATAATTTTGCGCAGATTTGTAATGGAAACGTAACTACCGATAACAGCGTTGATAAAATTAGACCTCTAATATAGATTTTTCTTCCTAGATTTTACGTTATTGGTAGATAAAAGCTTTGGTGGCCAATCACTGCTTCTCCAGGGTTAGTCGACTCACCGTGCCCTGCGTTTGCGGACACGCCTCTCATGCTCCGCCTCCTCATAGTAGAGCTCGTTGTGGCTGGTGTCGCGTCGCCTCGCTGCGGCAGCGATCATGGCTCTGGACTGGGACTGGGCAATTCCCGCAGCAGCGGGGTTCCCTGGACCTGAAATCAGCAGAACCTGGTCACACTTGATCTCAAAAGTGAGGCAAAGACGGTGAGGGGTGAAGACAGAGTGCAATGTGAGGGATTTCTTTTTCACGGCTGCAATATGAAAACCTATGAAATGATGGTTAAAGCATCTATTCTAAGGGAAACAAACTAGTGTTTTTTGGCCCCGATACCTGGCTGTGCAGTATTGGCCGATACAGATACAATACTGATAGCATCTATTTGAAATTGATGTGTGTGTGTATACAACCTAATGTCTTTATCTAATCTCCCCTGGATGTTATGGCGAAAGGGCACAAAAAAACTGCGAGAAATTTCTGGCTCGTGTTTTTATGTGCTTTTCTTGTGCTGAGTTTTTTTTTTTATATCTCAAGTGTGAAATATGCTTTATTTTCCCCTGTCTTCCCCAACAATGGCTACTATCTTTCCACAGAGATAAAGGCAGCGCTATATGTAACCGCCTGGTAACCCGTGGGAACCTGGCAAGCTATACGAATGCGCTATTAGCAGTGTTCTGCGGCACACATGGCCTCCGTAAATCCATTCCCCCTCTCAGCCCCCCCACCACCCGAATGTATGTGATGTATTGTGATGAACGGTTAGTACTTAAACTGAAATTTCAATTGCAATGTAAATTGTAGTTGACAATAAAGATTGATTGATTGATTGATATGAAGTAATGCATATTACTAGGATGTAAAATAAGTGCCATCATGGCTGTGTCAAGCTGCTGCCTATCTTTGAGAATCCAGTAGAACTTTTTATCGCCTACCTGGAATGGGTGACATTAGTTAAATAATGTTTTGGCTCTCAAAATGGTATCAGTGCCCTATTTGTTGGTACTTGCCGATACCACCATTGTAGTGCTGGATCTGGGCCCCGCCCAATACTGGTATCGGTGCAACACTAAACAAAACCCAAACTTTCAACTTGGACCACGACGATGATGATGTGGGTAAAGGCAAACTCAGGCTGTGAATTACTAATGCAGGGTAGGGGATCAAGCAAAAACAGAATATTTAATGGACAAAAAGGTGTGTGTGGGAGGCCAGGATATCACCGCGCTATGTGTATGTATAGTGGCAGGGAAATCTAATGCTAACAGTGAGAAAAATGTACATCATAAAGTTTCTCTGAGGTTGTCCAGCATGCAACATTTGAAATTTCGCACATTTCAAACATTTTCACAGTTAAACAACCAAAAAATCTACTTCTTATCTTAAAGAACAAGTAAAGTTGATTTAAACGACACAAAAACATACTATTGGGCCATAAACCATGATCAGAATTTTGTAAATTGAGGACCAATGTCCATGTTTCATCTTAACGGTTAAGGAGAAGATGCAGTTCCGCTACACAACGCTGCTGCCCTTACAAAGATTCTGCAAACCTTTCGCCAACTCACTCTACAAGACACCTCCCACAGAGGTGTGCCTTTTAGTTTTGACTAGTCATAATTCTAATTAAAGATATCTCAAATGCCACCATAATTCATGATATTTTAAATGTATTTTAGGATAGGAGATATGCAGTTTTGACTAGTGAAAACTCAATTATAGATATCTTAAAAGCACATAATGACTAGACAAAACAAATTTAAAGATATCTGGAATTGTAATTTCGACTATTCGAAATTCCTTTCCTAGTCAAAATGTGTCATGATCTTTTTATTGGGCTTCCAGGAGGATCATTTCTAAAAACATTCCTTACTGTCAGTTTAATCCACAGGAGGAAAGGTAAATCAGCTCCATTTACTGTTACTTTCAGCGCCCCTACATATGAATTACTGATGTGTGACGCTTTAAATCATGAATCCGGTGTCGTAATTTGAGATATCTTGAAAGGAATTTTGACTAATCAAAATGCAATTTAAGATATCTTGAATTATTGTTTTTCCTAATCAGAATGTAAAAACAGATATCTTAAATTACCATTCCAGATAGTCAAAATGTATTTCAAGATATCTGGAACATAATTATGGATGGTCAGAGGACGGCTTGCCATACTCACAGTCCAAATGCATAATTTCAGACTCATTATTGATGTCTTAGTGAGAGATCTAGCAAAATAGCAGGATTCTGAAAAAGGTGACTACATAAGAAGCAGATGGATAACGTTTAACCATCTCTTCTAAAGGCTGGGAACAGATCAGCAAACAACACTGGATGACCTCCAGAGGGGGATCAGTTGGATGAATGCTGTTAAGAAAACTAAGTTTTAGTTTCACCCGTTTTAATTTAGTAAAAAAAATCTTCTTTAAGAAACCTTTGGCTATCCGATTATTAATCGATTAATCGAAAAAAATAATCACCTGATTGCAGCCCTAGTAATCAGACGAGCTTTCTATGTTGAAGACCACAACCTTCAACCTACTAAATACAACATTAATGAAACGTACACAGCCTGAGGATTTCAGCTTGATCCCTAATCATCCACCTCAACACATTCAACCCTGTATCAATATTAATATGCATAAGAAGCTAAAATCATTTATCACATGTGCAGCTGCAGAACGAAAGAGAAAGACTAGAAAGAGAAGGAGACTTTGATGAGTCTCTGAGCAGCTGTTGCAGTAGAAAAATGAAGAATGTTGATAATGCAGGGAGAAACGACACAACTGTCTGTGATCCTGTGGTCCTACTGACACTTTAAATATAGGCAGCAAATGCTAGGTGGAAAAAAAGAGACAAGCAAGTCTAGTTAGCACACTTGATTAAATCTTAAGAACACTTAAGGGACATCGTTAATCCAATAGAGGGGTTGTGTTACATTCCTACCAGCTGACACAAGGATGAAAACTCTCTGTTGACTTGTGGCATGCAGAGTGAGGAGTGCCGAGTGTTTAATTTAGCAAGTGTTTTTAAGAGCAGTGGATCAGTTAGCAACAGGAACGTCCTGGTATACTTACTGTCCAAAAGGTAGGCTTTTAGTCTAGCTATAAGAGGTTAGCATCAGAGAAACATAAGGAGAAATGAACGTTAGCAGAAAAGTAAAAAATCATATTCCCACCTGGAGAGAGTCCTCTGTGATAGATATGAAATCAGCCTGCTAGGATTTCATCACATTGCGGCGCCTTAGCTACAAATCACCCGACTGTTGACAATATTCCAATTATACTGCATTAAGAGATCAATTTCTGCCTTCCAGGCAATCATTTGTTTTAGTGCATTCCAGCAAGTGAAGGAAAATCCACCTGCAGAAGCTTGAAGACGTTTTAAAAAGAGGAAAACGTTCCTGTTTCGAGCTATTGCAACATTCTATATCGTTGTTAAGGTAAAAAGGGCTTGATAAAGAAGAGCTGAGGAATATGTTTGTGTAGAAGAAAGATTTAAAGTCGGCTGATTTTTATACTTACGGAAGTGTTTAAAAATGTAGCAAATGCGTAGAAAAAATGTATTGAAAGACAAATATTTCTTTTTATACCTTAAAACCCCTAGGCTGCGAGAGAGTGAGCCAAAGCAGGACTAATAGTGTCTGAAAGATCTGCTTTCTCAACGATATATAGATGGAGAGTTTTGCTTCTCATCAGATAGATTTCAGACAAATCATGACAACTGAAATATTGATGACTCCTTAATTAGCTTTAGCAAGTGTAGTATTGTTAGCGTCATGCTACAGATGTTTTAAAGCTTCAGACCGATATGATTACAGGTGTTTTCAGCTATAATTTTTATTAAATGACAGGAAAAAGTCCCTTAGGAGCTAAAGGTGTAGCTCTGAGGATAACATAAAACGACAAGAAGCTAGAGACAACACAGAGCATCCCACTCACCCTCAGCGGGGCCTGCTGGGAACTCACCATCCACGTTGTAGACCTTGAGGCCCGCCAGGTGCTTGGCAGCTCTGGACTTGGATGCAGAAAGCAGAGCTGGGTTATGGATAGGGAAGTCACAGTAGTAGTGCTCTATGATGGCCAGGGCGGCCCGCTGAATACTGGAGGGGACAAAGGAAAGCAGAGTCAGTCATGTCCTATAACTAATAAGTTATAAAGAACTAAAATGGATGAGAAAAAATCTGATCACAAGACATTTTCAGCTTCAATATCAGACATGAGAAACACAAGATAAAGACGAAAATGTGCTTATATTACTACTTCTTCAAAATGAAAAACACAACCATCAGTATTGATTAGAGTTTTGTTTACATATTTGAAATGAGGGGGGGAAAGGCACGAGTTTAACCCAAATAATTAGAACACTTAGCCTTTAGAAAAAGAGATGGGAAAGGTTTGTCAGGCCTTTTTATTTATATCACAATTCTTGCTTAATGGAAAAACGCTAAAGACGCTCGTTATTTAAAGAAAGTGAAAAGGAGTAATGTTTGAATTTTATCTCAGACCCGCAAAGCACAATGACCCATTCCTTCCTCTTTACACACACGCACTGTGTCCCTATTACCAGCTTATTAGATGCATAGTTACTACAGGAAAAAGCGGCATTTTCCTTTACATTTTGCAGTTGGGTATATTTCTTTATTTATTAACGTCACGATATATATGATTGGCTGAACATATGACAAAACATTGTGAATGAAGGTAGAGTAAAGCAAGGTACTTCTGAAGACCCTCAAAAGGAAATCAAGATAGTGGAGGAACGTGACGCTTGTTTATGTACAACACTAAACCAGGTAGATCATTTCTTCAAAGAGGTTGAAACAATTCAATGTGTCTTCCGAGGTTTGGACACAAATAGAGTTACAATGGAGGACCGTACGGAAAGACAACGAACCTTTAAAGATGCTCAAAATAATAATATGATGGAGGGATTTGTCTTCTGTTTAGATAACATACTAAACAGCTTAGTTAATTCCTCTGAAGAAGATGGTAAAACAAATTCTTTGGTCGACCCAGAATTTGATCTAAATGGAGTTGCAATGGAAGGCCAGACTGTAAATCAAGGAATATTTGAAGGTAATGAAACTGAAATGACGGCGGGAGAACTTGACTTCTGTTTAGACTAAATAGCAGACAGTAAATATAATTTCTCGTTCATATAATTGAAATGGTCTACCCAGATACTGCCCTAAATCAAGTCAGAAATGAGTACAAAGCTAAAACTCTAAAAACAGACTGATAAACTGAAAACAATAAACACAAAAAGCAAAAAAACATACCTAAAAAACATCCCACCTATAAAAAACAGAAAAAACAAACAAAAAAGCCAACAAAAAAAACACAGAAAACCCCCCCAAAAAAACAAACCCCCCCCCCTAGCTATGTTATTGGGGGCTTTAAAGCCCCTGCTAGGGTCTCCCAAGGTAAACAGGCTCTGGGTAACGGGTCAGACAAAGAGCCGTTCAAAAGCCTTCATGAAGATTAAGAAGTTGAGGCACATGACATCATCTTGTATGGCAGAGCAGTACCCCGCCATGCAGCCTGGAACTAGGGTTGGGGTTTGTTGGCGAGCGCCTGGTGGCCAGTTTCTTCCTTGCAAGAAAGATACGAGCCCATCTCATAGCAGGCCCACCACTTCTAGGAGGAACCAAGAGGAATTTGGCAGCAGTCAGAAGTAGAAGCCTCGGCAACCAGAGGACGCTCAACCTTGTTCTGGTGACGTGGAATGTCACCTAGCTGGCGGGGAAGGATCCTGAGCTTGTGTGGAAAGTGGAGTGGTACTGGTAAGGGAAGTCTGGGAGTTTCTGCTGCAGTCGCAGCATTAGGTTCAATGCTCTGTACTTGCAGATGCGTCAAGTAACGAAGTACAAATACTTTGTTACTGTACTGAAGTAAACTTTTTAGGTAT